AGGGCCATAACTTTCTGAAAAAATTTGGTAGAAGCCGCTCAGGCAGGGAAATTTTTGAAACTCTTCTATTCATTGAAACCAATCACTCAGAATTAAGAGGGGTATTTTTCGTGAAAACGAGATAAAAAATCAAAAATATGGGTCAAATATTCCCCCACAGTTTTTTTCAAAGGCTGTAGACAGAAGGGTCCAGTAAAAAGAGACTCTAGGGGAGTATACAGGCACACCGGGAAGTAGGAGGTCTTTCAATTGATATCATTTTTCGAAACAGTAGAAGTTTCTGAGAAAAACGAAAATTTTTTCAAAATGAAAAATGAAATTTCAACAAAACGATTCGTAAACAAACAACAAACTTGAGACGTGCAGAGGGCGGTGTTAAAATTGGGTTTCCGTTCAAACGACTCAAAATTAGGTCATAAAGCCGGTTAAAACAGGCCGAAAAAATTTGGGCCGAGGAATTTTTTTCAAGTAGTAAATCAAACACTAAAAGCAAAATTAGAGAAAATTGCGCGCAGCAAAAAAAAACTATTTTTAAACGTGACGACCTAACTGACAACAAATAAGCAGACATATAACTTGAGAATGTTTCCCGTTTGAAAAAAAAGGTCCTGGTAGGATGCGAACCCCGGACCTTTTCCGTCTCAGGCATAATCGTTACCTTCATGCTTTGTTGGTCGGGAACGCATAGAGTTCATTGTGATCCAACATACAAATGATTCAAGTGATTCTTTTAAGAAAGTTATTAACCCGAAAAAAATTTCTTCCTATTTGATACCGTTTGCTACTCACAAGCAAAATGAATCATTACAATCAAAAAAATATGTGTAATTTGAAAAAAAAACTCAGGCACGGTTCCAATCACTCTTCTCTGAATTGAGAAGGCTACACAAAAACGTTTAGAAAACTTTTCTGAAAACTGTATATGAAAAACTTTATATAGCAAAACCAGTTTCAGCAACGCAATTAATTTTCTGAACGCAATTAATTCATCGCAACCAGAACGCAAAAAAAATAATTTGAATGATACTAAAAAAGGGCAAAATTTTGGCAGGTAACGTGCGGTGGCAATTCAGCAGACAAAAAATTAACTGATAACCAAGATTCCGATAACTATTTTTGTTACTCGAGAAATTTTTCGCAGCAAAACAGGTCCCGCCCAATTAAAACTTATGACCTTTTGCGTTTCAAGCCTTGACTTGCCCTCCACCTTACACCGGCCAAATTTTTACCACTAACTTGATATACTAATTAAGTAAGCTGAACAAATGATTCATTGATTTTGGTAAACAAGTTGTTAACCTGATAAAGTCTAAATTCAGATTTGATAACGCTGCTTCATAATTTCAAGCTGAAATATTACTTGCTAAAACAATGAAGCCAAACAAAAAAGCTCGTATCAGCGACTCCCCGACTTTTCGAATAATGTTGTTTTTGCCAAAAAAAAATTATTATTTCCGAATGTTTGAAATTTTATCTATTTTAGAAATACTTCCACGACACGCAATATCGAGTGCACAAGGATAATGTTAGCGTCTATTAAGCTATATTGTACCAACTGGCTGATTTATTAACCAAAATTGACCAAATGGGCGATCTTCAAAATCTCTTTTTTCGAAAAAAATCCTAAAACATATTGTTCTATTTGAGCTCAATTCTTTAAGAGGAAGAACTGTTATTTCAAAAGTCATATTCGGATCAAACAGGAGCGCAGCAGTAGACGTTGTTTTTTCAGTAGAATTTCAACCTGGCCTTTTGGAGCGATATTGAGAAAACAAATGGGTTTGAATGTTTAACTCTTCTATTTGATCGGGCTTACAATAATTTTTCGATTAGTTAAATAATATAGATACGCGTTATAAAATAAGTAGCAGATATCGTTAAGAACAAACTCGAACTCCGTCTTTTACGATTCTAGATTTAGTAAAGAAAGCAGAATTTGTATTTTTATAGTAAAACGGCCGACGCATCAATTATCTTTGTTAAATTAGGCCAGATTATGACGATAAAATCAAAGATGGAGCGTAAGTTTGAGCTAATAAAATATGAAAGTATATTGTTTCATTATGTGTTCACGAGTTTCTCCAGTCTGAAAAGGACTGTGAACTCAGTGGAGGTCCAGTTCACTCGTCTTCGGCCGCTACCGGCTCTGGTTCGGGTTCAGGTTCCGGTGGCGCATCCTCACTTTCACTCTGAAACGAAACAAAAGCCCTCAAAATCACCCCCAATAAGTCAGTATGGCAACAAAAGCGAAAATATCCTCAAAATATCAATTAGGTTTTCATCAACTGGCATCAAAAACCATCCAGGTTTTGATGAAGTGAAACGCTGTAATGATTGAACAAGCCTAGAACAATGGTATTAACCAGGAGCGTTTAGTCTTTTTTCTCGAGATTTTATACCAGTTTGTTAAGAAATTATCAATTCTTTGTAGACCGATCTATGTGATTTTCCTAGTTTCCCAAAAACATTAAAAAGAGACTATAATAAAATAATTAACAACCTAATCACTTTTTTAAAAACTGATTCGAGGTCGTTTTTTGAATTTCTGTACCTATTGGATGGGATTTAATCAATCAAACAATAACATCTAAGAGACAAAGTTGCGGCAATGTAGAAAAAACTGCAATATCGAGAGAATTTTGAGCATTTAAAAATGAAGCAGAAGCTATCATGATGATTATAGGGAGCTTATTAGTCCACACTTGAAAACAGAATTGATCTAAAATATTTTGATGCCCAAATACGGGGCCTGAACTAAATTTATTGCGGCAAAAAAAAAACGTTTATCAAAGAAATTTTTGAAGGGAGACATAGTTTAGCATGCCACTTTAGATGTTACGGAGCAAAAAGCAGACAAACTTAATTACAGACTCGTAAATAAGCAGATATACTTTTAAATTGTTAGTTTGAGCAAGATTTTTTTTTCAACAAAACATACCATAGTACTCTGGAAAAATTTTATACATAATAGTTCACAATGAAAAAAAATATTTATTTATCAAAAAATTAATAATTAAGCGAATTAATGAAACGTTTTGTCTGCTTTTGGGATTTTAAAGATTCATTTTAAAGTGAGCATCATCTTTTTTGGTCTGTGGGCGCCTGTTCATTTCACTAGCTTCGTAATAAAAAAGCTAGGTAGAGGTTACAGGACCTAAAATAATACAGAAAGATTAGTTTAGAAAATTAGCTTGCCTATCAGAGTTCAGTAGCCTAGGACAGATCTTCATGTTATGCTTACTCTAATAAATACACACCCATGATGACCATGATGTCATGGCTCGTCGGATACCTAATCCAACTTGAAATCGGCATAAAATTCTGGATTTCAGAACAAGGCTTCGTTTCTGTAGCTCGACAAGATGGACTCATAACAAATAACAAAGAGCTTTTCAGCTTTCGAAAACTTAAATATAGAACGTTTAGAAGGCCAGGAAATATGTAAAATATAAAATATGCATCCATCATGGATATAAGTCGAATGCCATCATGAGAGAATAAAAAAAGATACTACAAATATATTGCCCCTGTAAAGGATTCTATGCCCAATTAACTGCCCCCTTTGGATTGCGTAATTAATCAACTGGCAAATTTCAATAAAGCATTCAAGACCAGACTAAAAACTAGTCATGGAAGAGGATGGGCGCAGAGGGTGGGGCGGGGGGGGGGCTTGGTTGGTTGACTCACGATTTGCTTTTTGGGCAGGTCCTTTTCCTTCTTCTTAGGTGCCTTGTTCTTCTCTGCGACAATGTTCACGTATTTGTCTACCATTCCTTTCACGCCCAGGTACGACTTCTCTTCCTATGAAGCAACATACAATACTTGACTGAGCCATATTGAAAAAGTAAAAAACGAAGAAAACATGGCAAACATATGTTGGCATGAAATACTCGCGCATGCGAACGAGATCGGATGAAATGAAAACACCATCCAACTTCACACCCAATAATTCCCACTTAATTGTACATATTCCTATTTCAAGTTACTAACATGAAAAGTATGATAAGAAAACGAATGTTCAGAATAGTTTAAACGGTGGCTCTTGTGGCTGTCTGTAGTTTTTACGCCGGCTGCTGGAAGGTGCTTTTTTAATCGACTCTCCAAAGTTCATTCCGACTTTAAAAAATTAACTACGTTTTCAAATCAAATAGTAGCAACGTGTGAAAGCGCGGATAATTATTGATCGGTTTTGCTCTATCGCAACAGTTAAAATAATCTTTACGATGAAAAAACTCACTCGAATTGAAGGATTGTGTTAGTTAACAAATTTTCAGTCCACTCGGAATCAATTTCTTAACGGTGCTTCAGATGTTTGAGTGCATAAGCGCAGTGATGTAACCCTAGTTAGTATTAGTTAGTAACATGAATTTGGTTGTCATTCCATATTAAATTTGGTACCAGAATTCTTCTTAACTAGTCTAACCACGAGACAAACAAAAGTAAATGTGCTCTCAAATTATTATAAAAAGAAACAGGCTAATGTACAATGTAGAAATACCTCATCTGCCTGCATTCTGAAATAAGACAAAAATTTGGGCTAGGGTCAAATCTGACAAAACTCCGCAATTATTCAAAAGAACAACAAACAAAGGAAGGCGTAGGATGCAAAGCAGCAATTTAAGCGGCAACATTTTTGCAAAATTTAGGAGTCAAATGTGATCGGAGCGCTTCTTTCGGAATATTTACGTCAGCCACGGAAGAAATAGAATACTTCTTTTCTAGATCTCTGAAAACGACATATACGAATTACCCGAATTTTACCCGTGCACAATCCTGAAAACTACTCTAAACAGTCAACATTACCATTTCTAATGAATTTGAAAGTTAGGAACCTCAAAATTCCAAAACCAAGAACATTACATCCCACCTGTATAATTTAATCTGTTTTATATTATTCATGTCTCAGTTTGGAGGAAGTTCTGAGACATTTTGATACTTAATGATTCTATTTAGTTTTGACTTCATAATTTTGTAGCCCGCAGGTGTAACTTAATCACTTACTTTAGTTATTCGGAGCGAGAGAATGCGGAATAGAAGACAAAGTGACTCACCTTCTGGAGCCTCCGAGGTGGATCGTCTTCCGCCTTCGCCTCGTGATCTCGTTGATTCGCACCAGCAACTCACGGATCTATAGACACAAACAAAACACACATTTTACTAATTGGGATCGTGTGGTAGAAAAAACCCCCCGAGAGCCCTTAATCAATACGCTGTCAAGTACACGCAGATCAAATTAATCCATTGTGCTAAAATAGATTGCATAGAAAATTAAACTTAACTCAAAAAGTAAACTTTCGAGTTTTTTATTAGAAAAAATTGAATATAAAAGGGGATGAGGCGGAGGAAAAAAGTCTGGCGCCCATATGGTGCTAAATAATTAATCTGATGACGATGGGATACTGACGTCATAGTCCTGTTTCTTGAAGATCATCTCGATGTCGTACTTCTCTCCCTCCAAATGCTCCCATCTGTCTCGCAACTCAGTCGCCTTCGCCACCAACTCGCTCTCCCCTAAATCACGCACACAAAACATATTAATCGCAGAATTGAATCGGAGAGAAAACAATAAAACATCAACTCGATGAGAACTACACAAACAAAATAAAGATCAGTTGCAAAAAGAAGTGAAATCAAGATATTTCCAAAAAGTTTTTCGATTTTTTTCCATCACAAATTATCTCTAAATTCTTGCTACAATACGAATAGAAAAAACATACTAATTGACAGTTGGAAAAAAGTAATGAACGCAGTGAAACAGAAAAAAAAACTGACTTACTATTTTGAAAAAACATCAACTTTCGAACTTTAAAGAAAAAATATATGCCCTTATTTCTAAACTGAATGAGTAATACTTTGAGTCTACAAAATTTCTTAAGTGACAGTGATGCACGAGTCTACAAAATTGCTTAGTCACGCAAGCCAGTTATGACGCATTAGCAGTACCAGTCAACTTGAAAAAGGAATTTACCCACTAACATGCCTCAATTTATAGAGCGGACGCAATTGAATTAGTATACGAAAAAGTTCATTAAAACGTCCGACCCTTCCCAGGTTCGAACCTACTTATTTTATCTCGGCTCTCCTTCCCTAACTCTACGCTACAGATCCATGATGCCTTGAAGCTAAAGTGCTACTTGTAATATAATAGTCTGTGTTAATATCCTTAGCATTGGTTGTACTTAATAGCTGGTTATTGATCAAAATGAACTCATTTTGTCGCAACAATATTTGCGTCGCAACAATATTTGCGACTTAGGTTGGAAAAAAATAGAGCTCATACTATAACACAAGCTTAGCTTGTGTAATCAAAGGAAATGAAATGAACTTAACAAAAAATCAGAAGTCAAACCGCGAAAAATTAAAATTGAGGGTGAACAATATGAAAACTTTTCCTGAAAAAAAATTACCAAGACCTATATAATAGTCAGTACTTTCATAACTCTTAAAAATATTCTTTATTAAACAAAAACTAGCTGTTACAAAAAAGATAGAATGAAAGAATAATATTTGGTCGCTCTGCAAGCAGTGCAGAATGTCCGACTACCAATATCTTCGAAAAAAAAATGATAATAGCTTTTTGTGTTGGAGAGGGTCGCAAGGCGTTTAATTGAGCTCCCCAAAGGAAAACTGATAGCTCAAATACTTCAAAACTTATATACAGTACAGAGAGTGTAAACAGTGAACTTCAGCCGAACAATCAACTTATTTGTCATTTTTCGATCTAAGCCGGGACATAAAGAAATAGTTTTTCTCAACGGTGAAAGAACTTTCTAGAAACTTTCCAAAACAACCCGAATCACGAGCGAAAAAGATTTAATGCACAGAGGCGACGAAAAGCCCCGCACCACAATCACAAATCACATATTGCAGTCAAACGATAGGTCGACATTTTTTTTTTCGAACAGAAATTTATTATACGCTTGCAAAAAATACACACTTGGGCCGGATTCGAACTCACGACCTCTGTCGTTCGAGACATACACACTACGGCTATGACAAGTTTGCCGAAGTAGAAATGTCATTATTTGAAATGATTCAATGATCCTGTGAGACAAAGTTGTTTACATAGAAAAAATCTACCTTTTAAAGCATGACATATCAGTCGAACACATCCGAAGTTTGTTTGTGGCACCTTACTTAGCTCAAAAAGCGTATCCGAATAAAGTCTTGGCAGTAAAGTTAAGGAATTAATTATGAACAGGATAAGAGATAAGGTTTCAACTGAAAAAAAATTACCTGAAAGAAAATTAACCGAGCCGTCCCTAGCTATATATATATATATATATACTTTTTAAAAAAGGGCATGGGTGTAAGAAGTTGTTTATTATTCATTTACATGGCGCTTTTTTTTACTAACTCATTCGGTCGAATCTCTCGTCGTACTCCTGGCATCGCCTTCTGACGGCATTCTCCCGCTGAGCAGTCTTCTCTTCCTCCGTCTGCTGTTTCTTGGCAGCCGCGATCTCCAAATTTTGCTAAACAGAGACACCCAAAATATCACCACAATACTCCAAATCGACATGAACTTTCCAAGTTTACACTATTACACGCCACCAAAAAACGACATTCAAAATGAACAGAATGAGTTATAGTAAAGGGTTCTCCTTTGTGGAAAAAATGCCGTCTTAAGTCAATACACCCTGAATTGTCAATATCACAAATCGTTTTCTGAGAGCATCCAATTTCCCGAAAACTTTAAATCACTAGGAAACTAGGAACTTTGAATTGCGCGAATTGGTAATAACTATCAAGTGCAAAAATTAATGAGCTATTTTAATAGATGAAAGGTTTAATGAAGAAATACTTTTTAATTAATAAATTATTATAAAAAATGGACAGGGGAGCTACTACTATCCTATTGAGTACTGGTTTGCTTGCTTCTGCAGCAATTGCAGTGTCACTTCAGTGCAAAAACATAAAATGTTGGTCTAAACATTTTTAAGACAAAAAAATAAATACAGCAATAAGCCAATTTTTATGAAAAACTCTCTATTCGAATTGTGTTTGATTCCACGGAGCAAAATGATAAGGATTTTTACTTAATTAGTAATCAGCCTATATAGTCCTGATACAATTAAATTTAGAGTGCAGGAAGTGAACGTGTAAGATGCTCTTTATCGACTAATGAATGATCTTTATCTGAAGTGGAAATTCATGAAACGTCTTCGCAAAACCGTCAGCCAAATTCTATACCGTTTTCACATCGTTCAAAGTCAAACTTATTAAATTTGTCTTTTTAAAAGCTTAAAAGGTCTTCTGAATTCATATGGGCTATTTCAATTGTTGATAGACACGACGGTTATATTTGTGAACAACATTTTTTTTTATGGACAGTGAATATTACTACAAGTTGGAGATACGAAACTAAGTTTTGACTAAGTTCAGTGAGCTTTCGCTACCACATGTGAAATCTATTGAACAATAAGTGAAAAACATACCTTCTGTTTTCGGAAACGAAAAGAGCGTCACAGACAACCATATGTTATTTTCATAATTATAAGAAGTAGTATTAAAACAAACGTTTCAAATTCTTATTTAAATTAAATTTTTCGATATCAATTAGGAAGCTGCCAAGATAAAAATTAAACAACCAATTTGCGAATTACAAAGAAACTTTAAAAAAAGTTGAGAAACATTATGATTCGGATTAATGGTAACAAGTACAAGTAAAACTAGCATTATTCATTTTTTGATTGACAGCAAAAGCAGTATTGTGATTTTCATTGACAGCTCGTTGTCAGTTGTGACCGACTGACTGACCTTGACGATGTCGAGTGCATTGACGCCGGTGGAGACTGACTGCTTCTGCTTGTCCTCTCTGTCCGCCTGCAGCTGCTTCAACTTCTCCTCCCTCTCTCTCTTCCTCGCCTCCTCAAACTCCCTCTTCCTCGCCCATTCTTCCTCCTTCTTCTTCAACCTACCAACAGACGCAAACAATAACCAAGACTCCTCACATCAGCCCAAGGCCTTCAATGTTTCGATTTACCTATAAAGGATCTGAAGCAAATTTTAATTATACAAAAAAAAATATATTTTTTGGTAACTCCCGACCCCACGCAATTAAACGTGCAAAGCTACATATTCATTATCTAGTTACAAACTATTTGGACTAATTAGCTTGCCTCCAATCCAGGATGGAGTTAATTCTCAACTAGGTTAATGCACCACCTGCGCAAAGCGTCAATCGAAATGTAGCACGCTTTCAACTCTGAACTGGCCAGATTTCAAGCCCATATAATTTTACAAAAAAATGATAGCAAGTGAAGCATCTTTTTTTGAAGCGAGGGCATCCAGTGTCTCAAATATTGCTGGCACTAAGATTTGCATAGATAAAAATGAATTCCTGATATTTTCTGAAAGAAAATAGTTTTTCTTTTTTTTTCGAAAATTGTATGGTTTCGAAAATAGTATTGATTCGAAAATTGTTGCATTAAAATCACGGGAAAGCCTTTAAAATTACTGGGAGACGCAAGAGCGGTGTTATCCCTAAAATAACTAAACAGTTTGTATAATGACACTTTCACTACTTGTGGATAAATAGTTTTAACTCAAACAACCTGATGGCTTCTTGTTCAGCTCGCTTGATTTCCCTGACCTCGCGGTCCTTGATTCTCTGCAGTCTAGCCTTCTTGAGCTCGTTGTCTCGCTCCTCCTCCCGCTCTCGCTCCGCCTCCCTCTCTTTGATGTCCTCCAGAAGCTTCTCCTGCTCCGCCTCTGCTTCCTCCCTCTTCTTCTGCTTCTTCTTGTACTGCACCACAAATACAAACACACAGAACCATTAGAGGAAAAAATCATTTTGCTTCAATATAAGAAAACTTCAATTTTGCATAATACTTCCATACATGTAAACATATAGTCATCACGTAAGGGAAAAAGCAAAAAGCAACATTTGATCTTATATTAAGATAGACAAATGGTTCATTGCATTCTTTAGTGAATAACCTGAAACTTTCGAAGAGCTTGATTTAAGCGAATGCGCGAAATAAGCATGACACAGAGAAATTATGTGTCAGAAATAAGAATGACGGAAAATAAAAATGACGCATAGGCGAAGCTGAGCTTCGCACCATTTGCGACAAGACATGAAATTAGCATTTCAAGCTAGCAGATAACAAGTGCAATAAAAATGTCAAAAAAACCACAACAACAAAAATTTACCGACAAAAATTGAGTAAACGCTTGAGCCGATAAAAAACGGTTGTCATAAAAACTTCTGAAATTCTCAAATTTTAAAACCCTCCAGAAACACAAAAAAAATAAATTGTTTTCCTTTCAAACAACGCAAAATCAGGTCACCAAGCCGATATAAGATAAGCCCAACCCATAAAATCCGGACAGCTTTTGAGCGAGAAAAACAAAAGAAAATATACAGAAAAACCAGGGAAAGGGGTTATACAATTAAATTATACAAAAGGGAAAGACAAAGTTTTTGAGCAAAAAAATAAACAAGGGAAATTATACAAACAAGCAACGGAAAATCAGGGATTATTAGATTTACAAATTACACGAATAATTCTACAAACATTTTCTATTACATTGAAATTGCTTGCGAGCGCAAGAAAATCCCACAATGTGGCTAATAAGCCGACAAAACATAGACAGAGAAAATAGGTCGTTTTTTAAGAATGTAAACAGAAGGGAGGACTGAAACAAAGCTTGTAAACATCAATATTGTTACATTCATATCCTTAATTGTAACATTTACTGTCGTAAATTTTATTGAAAAAACGAAACACTTTTTTCAAATAAAAACAAAGCCAACAGAGACAGTTGGAAAAGATTCAATGAAACCAAGTAAACAAAAAATAAGAGTGAAAGAACCAATAGGTACAATTTTTTTCATCACTGAAAAATCTGATAATTAAATTCTATTTTCGAAGTCAATCGCATTTTTGGTGACCTTTACACTTTAGTTGTTCGATAGTGGAACTTGAAAACAACTACAGTAAACCGTAAAAAATAGAAAACTTGAGCCTGAAAAATTTTGACGACTGTTCATGAAAAAAAAACGAAAAGAAAACAACGAAAATGAGAGTCTGATCTAAGTTTATCGACTCTTAATATAAAAAAGATTAACGATGAAATAAGGAAAAAAATCATATTCAACAGCAAATTGGAAAAAATACTGAAAGCAAGTCACTAAAATCACGAAAACTGAACAAAAAAATACTGAATTGTTTTAAAAAATTCAGCTTTCAAACTTAAAGTTCTTTGAATTTCAAAAAGCTTTTAAAAACTTTAAAAACAAATTTTTCATTCAGCTGAGATATCAAAAAATAAAATCTATCTTTGGAACTCAAGTCATTCACGTTTTTTGGTCCAATAGCACTACATGATCTTGATCTAAAAGAGTGTCTACACATCGTCCATTGACACTTAATTAAAATCACTCCAACAACTCACTATCAAATGCCATTATTTGCACATTTGTTTCTGGAGAGCTCGTCTCAGAAAAATAGGTTTAAACATCAAAAGTATAACCCAAAAACTATTAAAAAAATAAATGGAAGTTTTTTACTGCGCAACATACTAATCAAGACTAAAAATGTTAAAAGTTTTTAGATTTTACAGCATATCGTCTAAAAAACGAGCCCAAAAAACATAAAACAATTTTTTGAGTTCCTGAAAAAAATGAAAACAAACCACTCGAATTACAAAAGTTTCGGCTGAAACAAAGGATTTTGTCATTGGAGGACAAACATTCAACCGCTTGAATTGAAGTCTAGTTTTGATTATTAGGAAAATGAAAACATGAACCTCCAGACAAAAAGTTTCAATCCTTAAACACTAAACCATTTCCGTTTGGGTTTTGATAATTTACGTAGAGGCAAAGTTGCACTTCGCATCACAAGCAAAATATGACCGATAACGCTACTGGGAAAAACTGAATAAGTAAAACTTTGATGAGTCTACAAAATTTTTAAGCGACGAAGCCAATTATGAGTCAACATAATTGCTTAAGGACGCAGGCAATTATGACGCCTTAGCAGTACCAGTCAATTTAAAAAAAAAACGTACCAACTAACATGCCTCAATTTAGAGCGGACGCATTTTAACTATTATACGAAAAAATTCATCTCGCGCTGGTTCGAACAATCTTATTTTGTTACGGGTCTCCTTCCCTACCTACGCTACAGATCCATGATACCTTGAAGCTAAAGTGCTTTTTTAAATGTAAGAGTCTGTGTAAATATCCTTAGCATTGGCTGTACTTAATATCTGGTTATTGATCAAAATGAACACTATCAAAATGTACACTAATATTTGCCTTAGGTTGGAAAAAAGAGAGTCCATACTATCACACAATATTTGGTTGTGTAAACAAATGAATTCATCAATGGTTTTAATAGTTTCACCCATGACTTCGAAGTATAAAAACAAATGACCTTAAAACTATTTTAAAATCCAGAAAAAGTATGGTTGCCACTATTTGGATATAACTAACAATATTAGGGAAAACTGTGTCAATAGGTAAGCTGCTTTTTGTTCCGCTGGAAAATCCGAAAAACAGATTCCACTTTCAAAACTAGAAGTCAATCATGTTTTCATGACCTTTACACTTTTGCTGTTTGATAGTGGAGTTCGCCTTCCTTTTACCAACTGAACTTACAAAAATAAAAAGTCAGCTGCGAAAAAAAAAATTTGAGTCCGTAGTAAAATATGGCTATTATTCGGTTAGTGCTAGTTTTGAAAATCTTCCAGTCAACATTTTATCGAAATCAAACTCGGGTTTTTCGGGATTTTAAGTAACTAGAGAATACTTCCCTAACGAGCTCATAGATAATATGATGTTACAATACATTGAAAAGTCAGATTGACACTGACTTCTTATCCATCCTATCAATTCAATTTGTTTGAAAATTAAAAATGGCACTTTTACTCGGCACATACTTTTCAAATAACCTCCTGGAATCTGATTCCCGTGTTGATTAGCTCGTGACCATATTCAAGTTAGTTCATCAAATTTCGTTAACACCCTGTCCATAGTTCCTTGCTAGCCATGGTCGGAACAATGAGCCGAAAAAGCTGGAAAAATAGGTCGCTAATTACAAGGTCGGTTTTTAAACAAATTACAAGCTAGTTTTCTATGCTCATAATGATAGCGAAAAAACTTGAACTTTTTTCAACTGCCCCGCGACTATCAGGTTCTTTTCCCGACTTACCTCGGCCAACTCGGCGGGATCGAGTTCATCTAGGTCGACGTCCATGTTTAAGGCTTGTAGTTGTAGGTTTGGTTGAAAGGAGTAAGGAAAGAGTAAGCTTACAACTTTTCACTAAGGCGAGTCAGGACCAAAATGGTTCCAATTAATACACAAGACAATTCCACGCAACCGACTTAACACTGTCTTCAGAAAGGGGTTTATTTCAAAGCGCTATATTGCATGTTCATTCTAAGCCAGTTGGAAAATCTATTTCAAGTCATTCATAACATTCAAAGGGGCGTAGGCAATGAGTGTAGGTTAAAACTTTACCAAGTGCTGTTATCAGGCCCAAGAAAATCCAAAAATTCTGAGCATTACAATTAAAGCTGTTTTGGAGTTTTATTAATTCCCAGAAATTTCCAAATAAAACAAGGCGGCCTATACCTTTCCCAAATATTTCGCTATTTAACATATAATTTGTATTTTGAAATTCCAACGTGTATTCTTATCAGTTGCAGTTCGATTTTACCGTTACCCAATAGCCTGAAAGTGAAATAACTTTACCTTGCCTCCAAGGCGATACATACAGACACAGCTAAGTTTCTTCGAATACCAAGTAAACGTTGTGCTTTCCAGAACAGGGATCGAGCCAAAGCGAACAAGCCTGCTTTGGTAGCTTAAGCTATGCCAGAAAGTTCTACAAATACCTTTCGGTGGTTTTAAAACAAAACTGTTTGTTCACTTATGACTCTTCAAAAATTTGAAACATCAAAAACATTAATTTCAAAAATAAAACAAATATAACATTCTCTTAAATACATCAAATCAATTTTTTCTAACTACTTGAACATATAGAGCACGACGTAAAGATTTTGTAAAGGAATTATATCTAGATATGTTTGAATTATTTGTAATCAATTATTAAACCAAATCAGAGTTGGCAGAAGTTATTATCAACTTGTTGCAATTAGTTTCAGCAGCTCTTTTTTTCAGTATTTAAGCGTTTAAGTCAATTTAAACGCAAGGCAATAAAAACCTAAATCATAAGTTCAACATTGCTTGAATAGTTTTGTTCGACTGAACTAGAAATATCAGCGAAACATCGAAAACTGAGCTTTTAGAAGATAATACTAACATTTCCTGCCAACATTACCAAAATAAAATAAATACGTTAAAATGTTTTTTCAATTGTGATTCAATACAATGAGTTCATTCTTCGTCAACATTACCGTTTGTACCACAGAATCTTTCTAATGACAATTGCGATTGTCAAAAACAGAACAATGAATCCGATGTTCACCAAAACACCCGCCCAGACCTCTTTATAGGCCAAGCCCCAGCCTCTGAGAAAGACGTCTCTCATCGCCGCCGCGGGTAGAGTCGGCGGAAGCGCATAGCTCACGTATCTCAGTGGGTACGGAATCGCATCCAGGGGCCAAATGACGCCACTAAGAAGCATCAGCGGGTAAAAAGTACCCAAAGTTAGCTGCATGGCTTGCGTTTCTTCCGTGCAAACAGCCGACGCAATTAGCCCGAACACCAATCCACTCAGACCCTGCATATATGCAATCCAGACTGCGAGGGCTAAATTGCCCAAAAATGGGGTGTCGAAAACCAACAACGCCATGATGAACAGTATACAAAGTTGTCCTGTCATTATGAAACATTGAACTGTCATGAGAGACAACATCAGCACCGTTTCAGTAACTCCTGAGGCGCTGAGTCGATCCACGAGACCCTGTTTGCGTTCGATTATAGCCCCGATTCCAGTCAGCGAAACAGACATAGCGTACGTCAACTGCAGAATGACTCCTGGAGCCATGTAGTCTGTGAACGATTTCACCTCGTCGCCGTAGAATGGTTTAGTGAAGTTTATGGGCGATATAGTGAGTGAAGGATTTGAAGATACATCACGTATCATGCTGTAACCAAACTCAGCATACGCTTCCAAGAACTTCTGCTGAAGCAGCATGGCAGTCATGAGCACTGTTTGGTCCAAACTTATTACCACACTACCACCTAGGGCTGTTTCAATAGAAGTGTTCTGAAAATCAAGCCCACGCTTTATCAAGTCTTTTGTATAATTTTTGCCAAATCGGACTATGGCAGCTATTTGTGCATTATGTGAAGCAGTTTCAATACCTTCATCAGAATCAAAATACTCCAATTTTAGCAGGTTGCCTTTGTCCAGGTAGCTGAGATACCTAACACTGAGAGACGTCTTATTTGGTGAAGTATCCTGGTTGAAAACACCAACAGGTACGTCTTCTGGGTTGCCTCCAATCGCTAGCAGTAGAATTGAGATTTGTATCAGCGGCAGTAGAAATTGAAAAACCATCAGTGGTTTATTTCTGATCAAATGGATAGAATCCTTTAGAATACATGCAACCAAATGTTTCGGATTGATTGTATTTTGTCGCAAAGTTCTGCGTAATCTCAGATATAGCGTTTGATTATTGAAGAAATCTTGGGTTTGATCACTAATGATTGAGCATTCGGCGTCGGAATTGCTTTCTTTTCCTTGACTATTGATCCCATTATTGTCTACAAGAAGTTTCACGCCATCGTTGGCGGCAGCTAAAACGCAACATAGCTATTAAGCATTCAAAAGACAATTGAACTTCAATGATCTTCTGCACTTAAAAAGCATCGCCAACAGACAGTTGGAAACAGTCAATGAACGCAAGTAAACAGAACAAAAAATGGCTTGCTCTTTTATGAAAAAACCTCAACGCATTTCAAAGAAAAAAACCTTAAAGCTCTTCGAATTTCAAGAAAGATTTATGATAGGCAGTTTTTTATTATTAAATTTACCCAATTTGAGAAAACCGGAATAATGATTAAAATTTTAATTTCACTGGGAAATCTGAAAAATGAATTTCACTTTCGAAACTAGAAATCGATCAAGGTTTTCATGACCTTTACACTTTTGCTGTTCGATAGCGAAGAAAAAATATCCTATTTAACCTCTCTAAATTTCAATATTTCTTTTTGATCAAGATTTTTCATAAAAGTTACCGAATTAAAGATAAATTGATTGCCTTCCATCCAGAATGTGAATTTTAGAATAACAACTTAAAAGTAAGATGACAGATAACATTGGAAAAAGAGCATCGTGCAATAAAAAATGTTGAATGGCCTTAGACGACAAATTTGCGCACACTTTGAGTTTGTTAACTACTTTTGCGAACAATAAAAGCTATTATTCGTTCTCGGATTTTGCATGAACTTAAGGATAGCTTGTGATCTGAATAATGTTACTATGACAGAGAGCCCATTACTTAATAGCTTTCTCACCGATGGCGATAGTAATTTCAAAAAAGAAAAAAAACCAATTCAAATTATCAAATTTTAAACAAATAAAAAAATCATGAGCTAGGCTCGAATTTATGAAGTTTTTAGAGGGCTGCTTTTATCCTCTGTGTTATCTGTGATGAAATTAATTACTGCCGTGAGATCTAAGTCAAATTAGAAGTCTCGAAAAAAAGCAATCCATATTTCGACAGGTCTCGACCTCGCCTCGACGAGATGTTTCCACAATTTATAAAAAAATCTCGACTATAATTTAAAGTTATAACACTAAGCTCAATGACAAATGTCTTTTGACTAGACAACTAATTTTTTACACAGATTTTCTAACAAAACAAGAAAACCAAGTCGAAAAAAAATAGAAAAAAAACTTGAAAATGTCGAAAAAACGAATCTATCAAAATGAAAAAATCTCTTTTAAAAACAAAAAAAATGCAAAGACAAAACAGCGTGAAATTATCATCGGAAGAAAACTTATCCAGCGGCTGTGATATCTTACAATAGGTGGTAGGTTCAATTTGAATAGCTGGATCGCTTTTTCTTACACTTCGCACATTACTTATATTTTTGTTTCAAAAGCCAAATTTTCTGGCAAAAGAAGTGTAAATTTTGAATAGCATTTCATCTGTCAGAGTAATGTATTCATAAAAATTATCTTAGTACTAGTATAATTGATTGAAAATGAAAACACTTTATTATGCCTTATAGTTCTAAAATTTAATACATGCACTACACTCAAAATTATCACCTATTGTAACATATCACCCGAGCGGCAACAAAGTCTAAAATACCGAAACAGTTGAGCCTAAAAAGTTCAAAAAGACTTCCAAATATTTGTTCTTATATTTTGTTTCAAAAGCCAAATTTTCTGGCAAAAGAAGTGTAAACTTTGAATAGCATTTCATCTGTCAAAGTAATGTATTCATAAAAACTATCAGCACTAATATAATTGATTGAAAATGAAAACACTTAATTTTGCCTTATAGTTCTAAAATTTAATACATGCACTCCACTCAAAATTACCACCTATAGTAAAAAATCACCCAAGCGGCCACAAAGTCTAAAATACCGAAACAGTTCAAAAAGACTTCCAAAAAATTATTGAGTTACCTTCACCAAGAGGCCACTAAGACGATATTATAAAAGTCGAAACCTATCATGCCTGAAAAAAAGGCGAAAAAAATCTAGACTCGAAAAAATGACTAATTCCCGCTCTCCATCAGAACAAAGTGCGCACAAAAACTTTTTCCGCTCGTCGAACGAAGCAATACCAGGCAACTAACCCGATATAATACAAGCTGAAAGCTATCAAGCACAAAAAATGCGCAAAAGAAATTTTTTTTTAAATCGAGTTGGTAAAATCACAACCAACATAAAAATCTAATTTCGAAAAAGAAAGATGCTTAAAAACCTAACATGCGCAAAACATACCTGTAGCAGTAAATTTGTTTCTAACAGGCTCCCAGAAAATGAGTCCAGTGAACAAAGTTATTTACGGAAAGAAAAGTCTAGTACTATGTTCGCGAAGCCAATCAATGCAATAGCTAATCCAATCAATTCACTGTAGTCCCATGAGGGTATATGTGACTCATGCTGCCAAAAAATGATTGTTCAACATCATATCCAGTGCAGAAAAGGTTTAAAGCACATATATCTTCTAAGTGTCTAAGCCTAAAATTACAATCATTTTGCAGCCTGCCGACCCAAAGGGTGCCCCCTTTGTAGTAATTTGAGATATCCATTTTTGTGACTGGACCTTTGTGACCGCGAATATATACTAATTTTGAAGGGGGAGCGCGCGCAAAAAAAAACGCGATTTTTTGGTCAACATTTCCCAAAAAGTGCCTAAAAACACCTTTTTGGCCTGTTTTTTCATAAATTTGCCTGCGGCGCAAAAAATTTGGTCAAAATGGGGTCTTTATAGTGATTCATCAGAGCTCAGATTTCAATTTGGCCGACCTAAAGAAAGGGTGGACAACATTTTCAAAATTTTATGAAAATCCGACCCCCCCCCCCCCCCCCCCTCGAGAAAATCCTAGATTCGCCCCAGTATTAAACGACTATATAGCAACACAATCCGCGACCGCGATTAATCCACTGAATTTTTTTAAAACTTACGTGAAACCTCTCCAGAAGATGACGAATTTTGGTTGTCATTCGAACATAACTCGAGAAAGACGGCTTCCAAATTAGCCAGACCTTTTTCTTTTATCAAATGTTCTGGTTCCCCTTCAGACAAAAGAACTCCCTGGCGCATCAGTCCCACCCTGTTAGCTTGGCGGGCCTCTTCAATGTAGTGTGTAGTTATGAGGATAGTAGTTTCGTTATTAACTGATAAATCAACTAGATGTCTCCAAATCTTCGCTCGCAACAAAGGATCAACACCTACAGTCGGCTCGTCTAAGATTAATAATTTTGGGTCATGAACCAACGCAGCAGCAAATGAAACTCGTCGCCTTTGGCCTCCGCTTAATTTTTCCACCATTCGATAAGAAGCAGGTAGGTCTAAAAGCTCAGACAAGAAACTCAAGCGACGCCTTATATCAGACCCTGCCATCCCATTGATTTTGCCGTAAAAGTAGAGGATCTCTTTAATCGTAAAGTTCGGGTGGAGAGCGAGATCTTGCGGCATGTAACCGACATCTTTTCCTGGTACTGCGACAACATCTAAATCACTGCTGGGACTGTCTTTTCCGAAAACGGTTATTCTGCCAGACTGCAATTGGAGGCTCCCTGGAATATTGCACTATTTAACACTACATCAGAGGCGCCCTTAGCAAACAGTTTTTGACAAAAACATTTATACTTGTGTTACTCTATTGAAGACACATGATATGTAAGTTTAGTTTAACTGTTTTATCATACAAACAAAGGCAATCAAGATTGTCAGTTTAGACCACGGCGTCTTCGAAAAAATATTGAAAAAAGTTTAACTTTGCTTCCTGAAGAATTTACTAATAATCTTATATCAGTTAAAGTATATATTTATACAAGGGTGGATTTAAAAAATTCTACAAACACTCACCATTTTTTGCTAACCAACCCTAAAAACTTCCAAACTGTGTTCAAAACATTATGATCTACTTCTTCGCAAATTTGCTCTAAAAAAACCATTTCGACTACGAGCACAAAAGCCCTACTACTACTACTACTACTACTACTACTACTACTACTACCTAACGCCTTCTTTAAAAACCGCCTCCCTCTAGAGAAAACAAATTCTCCTACTACTGTAAGCAGTATTCGCTGTACTTGTACTGCCGTTAAGTTTGGCTTTTTTCGATACTGGTACTCAAATTATTCTCAAATTAAAATGTTTTTCATTGCAGCTCATCATCAGAAGGACTTTAATATATTATATCCTTCCAAGTTGCTGAACAATTTTTGGTTGCAATGGATTTTGAGCTGAAAAAACTCCAAAATAAGCCAGCCTCAAAGGCGCATTTTGCCATTCCATGGGAGGCTAGTCTAGATGAAGATTTGTCCAACAGTAGAACAAACCCAAGAACAAACCAAAATCTGATCGGTCAAAATCAACAAGCAAATGTAAGTGAAACTCAAATATTTCATATACTTCGCCGCCGCTGATTGCATGCAGTGGTTGTGCAAACAATACTCAGCTTTGAGAAAAATCAAGTTAAGACAATCTTTGAGAAAAAATCAAGTTAACCGGCTATCCTTGTTTTAAAAAATTTCAGCAAAAACCTCTCGTTTTTTTTGAATAAATTTCTGATAGGAAGTCATTAAAACCAAGTTGAGCAGGTGAGTCTTGTTTCGTTGAAACAAAACTCACCTGCTTTGTTTCGTTCAAAAAAATGTGTTTTTTAGTCATTTTTCGTAAAAGCCCTGACAGTAACCGGCTATCCTTGTTTAAAATAATTTCAGTAAAACCTCTCGTTTTTTTGAATAAATTTTTGATAGGAAGTCGTTAAAATCAAGTTGAGCAGGTGAGTTTTGTTTCGTTGAAAAATCTATCAGTGTCTAACCTAAGATGCATTTCAGTAATGTTGTCTTTCCGCAACCCGATGGCCCTAATAGTCCGTAAATAGATCCACATTCAACCTTCACCTTCAGCTGATTGAGCACGGGAGGATTTCCTGATTTAATGCGCCCATACGCAATTGTTGCATTATCGCACAGTATCGCAACTGGTCGTTTCTCCATTTAGATATTACAGATTTTCACAAAACGCCGTAGCTTATCAAACTGAAGAAATAAATATTTACTAACGAATTCAATTAAGTTTATAATAGTAAATATGATGTTCCATAACCTGAAATATCAAATAAGTACTTTACATGGCAGTTGAGATTGAAATTATATGCGTTTTAATTAACGCATCACTGCATTGCAGCAACAGCAACTATAATGTAAAAAAAACTTAAAAAAATCCCGTTTGAAAAAAAAACAGGTCCTGTCAGATTTGAACCGACGTTCTTTGCCACTCCAGGCGTATTCGTTACCTCCAGACCAAATGTGCCAGTGACACAAAAACGAAATTAAAATAATTACGAGCTGAACCGAACTTAACGTAAATTTCCATTTACAATTGTGACCATTCTGTGCTTAAAAATATTTACGGGACAAAGTCTAGCACCCGATTGCAATACCATTACATATTGTAACATTCGCCCGGAAGATACATATCGACGGATAACAAAACTAAGTCTTAAGACGACTGGCTAGCGTCTAAACAGAGCTTTGCATGTTTTTCACCGTCTCTACCAAGCCAGTACTTTTCGGTGGTCTTTCTTACATCAGGCTGACAAAAACGTTACTGTTCTCCGGCTTCGACCAGAACGCTCAAATTAACTGAATTACATGCAAAGTTAGTGAGCTCATGGCTGGGTCTCAGTATCCCCAGACCACGAGTTCACTCCTAAAAACAGGGCTACTACTTATCATATTACTATTGCTTTTGTTCAGTAGATAAAAATCATCATCTCCATCGAAGATGGATCAACCCTTTCCCCCAACTCCTAGCACCTCATCCTTGTCAAAACTAATCAAAATATCAGTTAAATTCAAGTCAGGACATGACAGGATGCTAAAAGTTTATGTGAGTTAATAAAAGTTTCCGTCCCGAGACCCTTCCGGATTCTCGAATCCGCCGAATCAAGCTCCTTACTCTTGATTTCTTGCTAATCCGGAAGGCTGGTTCTCACCCTTCACCGTTGTTGGCAACGGCCTTGCAACTATTGTAGCAGCACAATAGTTGCAACTCGGAACGTTCTCTGCTATTCTGTAGTTCGTTGTCGTTCTCCAATCTCAATTTTCGTACTGTTCGCAATCGCAGATAAAAGTTGTTCTGCAGAATATAAATGGCATCATACTACATCACTATAGCCTTCAAATTCTTTCATTAATCTGCACATTGAGGATATGACTTTAGATAAAACATATTTTCTGACTTCCAGTGTCAATGTCCCGATTGAAACTTTTTCTCCTAGATTTAAAAGGTGTTGGCTTGCAGGACAGTCCTGCCAACCAACAAGCTAAAATTATCCTACTATGCTCCTTCCCTTCGGAAATCTTGCTTGTCTATTGTCCTGAGTATTAAAACTAAGAAACTTTGTGGTTAGAAAGAACAATGCAACAACCTCCCTCCTCAAGAAGTTACTCAAGTTTTTCATGTCACCACAAAGTTATCAGTCTTCCTAAGTGATTAAAGACAATCATGCAGGCTGGAATATTTAAATATACTCTTCCCTCAAGCCTTTCTAAATAAATAATAAGTGAGTGTCTCTAAAGCCACTTCAACTAAAACCAAAATGCAAATTTATAAATGCAACAATTTCAAAACTCAACTAAATGTTTCAGTTTTCAGTTACAACTTGGTTGCTTGGTTTCTCACTTGAGTTTTTCACACACATAAAACAATTCTGAGTTTTAACTTTTCTTCATCATCCCTTTGTTCTCTTCTTTTTTCGTCGTTTAGAAGTTCTAAAACTTCTAAATTCTTCTAATTTTCTTTCTTGCTGCCTCTTGTTTTCTCGACCATTCGTCAATGCTCCATTTCCTCCTCCTGTGACACTGACTCCGCACTTTCGGTTTCCGTGTCTTGTAGCACGTCATTGACTATCCTGACGCTGTTGGAAGCCGTCTTCCAACACTTCTGTTCTTCCACCCTCTGTTTACAGCAAGGTAGGGGATCCACGTTTGATTCTCTGTTTCTACAGAAGCTGTTGTGGAGACACAACGTCACGTTTCTCTCCAAATCTTCTTTCAGCATCTCTGCCTTCTCATTTCCACTACGCTCGCTCGTCCTGGAAATTCTTTTCACAGCGGTGGTCACTGCATTCCGATGGGTCACGAAAGCTCGCTTGAAAGCTCCTGCCCCAATGTCCAGCTGATATTCACTGTACACTCTGCCATGTTTCGACATATGTTTTTTCGCATACTCGTACAACCATGCAGTCATGTTAGCTCTGAACCATAGCATCAATCGTTTTCTTGCCCATATCTTCTTCACTTCCATCGGAATGTTTAGAACTTTGCACATTGTCTCAAAAAGATCTAAATCTTTTAGACAATCTAATTTCTGCAATTGTTCTCTCGTCGGTGCCTCCTGTCTATTATTTTCTCTCACATGAGCTTCCAGCCATCGTATCGCCATCATAACTCCCACTATCACTATTGTTATGGGCTGTGATGAATCTGGTAAACCCATGGAGAGCAGCTCTCCAGAGTCCCAGATCAACACCAAATTACTACGCTTGGGATACCACCAGGTCTGCAGCAAGCAGTGGCAAGGAAACTCGTCATGTGTCAACATGATGCTCCTCCAATTGCGTTTTCCTGAAGCTTCCAGCAATGGTTCCACTTCCATCATCACTCGGTGGATTTCATCATTCTCATCTACTGCATTGTAATCTGTGACAGTTGATCCTCTCTGTTTCTGTTTTTCAAAGTCACTGAAGTTCCCGCTCACATATCCCATGAACTTCTTTCCTAGTATTGACTCCAACTCCTCTTTGGTTCTCTCTGGAACTGCTGAGAACATCTTACATAGTAACTCGTAAGACTTTTCAGACATTCTCGCCAATCTCACGCACTTTGGCACTGAGAAAGCTTGATCCACGATCGTTCTTGTACTCTTCACGTCCACAGCCACGAAATGTACAGGGTATCTGCTCTTGCACATTGGAGCCAACGTTGAACCCACCAAATATCGTGCTCCTGATGGTCTACAATAAGTTTCGCTGTGTCTGATGTTCATCTCTGTTTCGATTGCTTCCCTCCATTTTCCTATATACTTCTGCTCAGTCTGCAGAACTCCTGGGAATACTTCTACGCTGATGGCTGTGACCATCTCATGTTTCTGTTCTAGATTCAATAGTGACTCTAAAGAACCAAACATGCTGTAGAATCCTAGTGCTGTCACTAGATTCACATCGGTTCCTCCATGGCAATCTGCTATCAGTTCCGTTTCCGTTCTTGCTTTCATCACTACATTTCCAAACAATACTGTCAACTGCTTGTGTTGTTTCTCCAGGGTTTTCACACAGTCTAGACTTCCACAAATGTGACCCTCTAGTCCACAGACTTCCGCCAGACAGCTACCAGGTTTGACCCAGTCTTCTGGTCCCCAGCCAGGCAACTCCACTCTATCTTCTCCGTTGCTCTTAGAGGCTGTTATCATCACATTATATATGATGTTGAGGTCACGCAGGTTACAGTCCGCATTCAGTTCCCTCTGTATGTCCTGTGTCGCCCGTAATATTGAGTCAGCGTTGGGACTGGGACACCATGATGGCTTCATCAATTCCCACACTGCCATCAAGCTCGTTCTCAGTAATTCATCTGAGAATCCCAACCCAAATTCCACTCTCTTGTCGGATTTTGGTATTGAAGGTGCAGTCACCTCTTCTTCCAAGACCAATCCCAATTTGGCCTGTGGATTGTTAACGCTCTTAGTCGTCACAATTCTGGACGTCCAGAATCTTAGTAACACCGCCTGCTCATAATCAAAGAAGCAATCGCGTATGTCTTCACTCAGGAAAGGATTGTATGCTATCCCTATAATCCCGGACACATAGCTATATGACTTCTTCTTGATCGGTCCACAGTATTCACTGGATTTCGGCAATGCTCCCATAGATTCTTTAGTGAGCCTCAACTCCTTGTTTGAGAATCTCCTGATCTCGTCTATCTTTTTCATGGGTTCCAATTCTTCAGGTTCTTTCATGTTCACCCTCATCGGTTTACTTTGCTGCATATCCAGCATTGCTAGTAGGAACATGGCTTTCGTTCGCTCATCGCCTTCCTTCAACATTTTAACACAAGTGCTTAATGCAGGTACTGAAATCTGCTCTATCAGGAATCGAATGAAACAGAGAGCGTCTCTCCGCTTTGCACACGCTACTGCTGCTCCCTCCTGGACTATCAGATCCCTCAGATTCGTCATAAGGAAAACTTTTTCCTCCTTTGATCTCTTCCTTTCTTCTGAATCATATTCTTCGCGAGTCAGTCCCATCATGCACCAGGCGAGCCTGAGTTGTAATTCTGTCCTTACGTAAGGTACTGCCACGAGAGCATGTATTCTTGGCGTAGTCCTCATTTTTCTTCGAAATACCTCAATACTACTGCTTTCCATGGAAGGCTCACTAACTGCTCGATCGTCTCCGCCTCTACGTCAGACGACGCCAAAGTTCCATACGCCTTCTGCTTGAGGGTGGTGCCTTGCAACATCGTTTCCAGATAACCCTCCATGGCTTTTTCGTCTTCCAGGGCCATTACATACCCTCTAGCCGAGTTCCGGTATTCCAACATCTCCATGTATCCACCGGTGGGTTCATCTATCGACACTGTCTCCGACACTGTTAGTCGGTTGTATTCCACTGGTGTCAGTTGTCCTGCAACACTTCCTTTTCCATGATTCATGGGAGATGGTTTGAAGTCCCTCATTTTACTCTCTCCACATTGATTGAGTATTTCCATTTCTAAAGTTGCTCCAGTCAGAGTGCGGTCACTCCTTTTGGATTTATAACCGGTTCACTTTATCCCTGCCATGAGAATGGGTGGCACCATCGCTATATCACTTAATATTCTATCTGTTCTGGACAATTGATAATCACCTTGCCCCAAATCCATAACTTCTTCGACTCGCTTCCTTTTCGCTGAGTTACCAGCTTTCATCGATATTTCTGAATCCACTTTCGTCTTTCCAATTCTCCTCGGCGTCAATCTGCTGCCTAACTTCATTTTCATCGCATTGATTTTATCAATCACCATTTTTGATCGCATCGTTCCTCTCCTGGTCCTTGACAGGTACACCACCTCTCCTTCATTGTCCTGCGGTGTCATCTT